ATGTTGCTGAAACAACAAAGTAATAAAAAAAATTAATATCTGATTGAGGAATCACTCATCTTTGGAAAAGAGAGTTTATTACAGAGAAATGGCTCTTTCCAAAATAAAAGCTATACTACACACTTCTTCTGGGGTATATTCTCAGCAGCATATTAACCTCTTAAGCCCCAAGGGGGTTTCTGAGATTCCTGCTCGAAAATGTAATGCCCAAATTTAATTGATTATTTCTCTGCAATTACAAACTCTGTCCTTACAATCTTGGTATCAAAATAAAGCTAACACTTGGGAAATTTCATCAGAGGTGTAAATATTGAATCAGATATTACTGTGTCAAAGTTACTGAGACTGGAACACAGAAAAAGTAAGTAGATTTTATCCTCGCCTAATTATTGGTTTTTAATTTTTAGCATATAACCCTTTGAAAAATATGCCTCAGATCACATTTGGTTCCAGAAATCCAGTAACCAACATATAAACATCATCTGTGCAAAGATTTATGTTTCTAAAGTGAAACAGTGAAAAATTACAGCGCTGTCAATACATGAATATCCAGACGTTGTACAAAAATGTCCAATTTTGGCACACAATTGGATACCATGCCAGTTGATTTTTTTTAGGTATTAAAGAGCAGAAATTAATAAATTTTATTAACAGGCCTAAACATGCTTTTTTTAAAATATATTTTTTGAAGAATTAACCACACATTTACATGGCAACAGCCCTTTTCTGCAGCGCGTATAGAGCGTTTGATTGGCCTCTGGCCCTTTAAACTCCGAGGGGCTGGAACTTTGGTTTCTTTTGGTCAATTTGCGTGATTGACACCTCTTTTTAATGTTTGAGCCAATAGATTCACAGTGACGATACCATGTTCACGTCACTTCAACCAATCAGACGTTATGATGCCAAAACCCACGTGGGCCCAAATTTACTGCATGTGGTGTCACGTGTCTGTAGGTGGGTCTAAAATGGAGGTTGTTGACAGAAAACTGCTCTGATGCGGCTAGGTAGGCATGGCAACTACTGTTAATCACGTGGCTACCGGCGAAAATAACAGAGGAAATCTGGGCAGTAAGCCAATTTCTGTCTTAGCACATTTGCACCGCTGTGTGTTTTTGTGGTCTTCTTTTATTGCTCATTCAGTGAATTTTGGTCTGATCGTGGTGAAACTTGGTGTGTGGAGTCAGTGATAGCTCTAGACACTAACCAGCCCATCTTTAGCCGGTTACACAAGAATTTCTGGTTCTTCTTTCGGTTTTGTTTGTTTAGCGGACTTCTGCATATACTTAACTGCTCGTTTAATCACGGCTTGTTTTCGGTGTGTTTGGTGGTTGTAGAAATGGTTTATATGACCTGACCTCCTCCTTTTTGCCCCCTGTACCAGGGCGTGGGGCTTAAGTGGTTAAACATATCAGGTCCCCATAAGGAGAATCATGTGCTAACGGCTGTCTAAATGACTCGGGTAAAGTTTGTAGCATGCGTGCTTGTTGTTTTT